AATTTATTTTGTTGAATTTGAAAGTTTTCTTGTCTAATTTTGCGCGATTAATCAACGCAATATATACGAACATCTTTAAATATATATAAATATCTACATCTGTTCAAATATAAAGCTAGACAGTTAGATATGATCTATATATATTTATATAACGATTGTTAATTAAATGGTTAATATGCTAACAATTCAATTTAGATATTTGCACATAATAATTGTTAGTTAAATATAAATTGTCTGTTTCGATATGACATTCATTATAATTGGTCCCTGATCAATAGACAAATACTACGTTCCAGAGTAGCTAAATGGTACGCCAAATAGCTCTTCCCATGATTTACCAATGGCATTTAGACATAGCTCGGCATTCGCCAGGGTCTCGAATTGCAAATGCCAAATTTCGCTTTTGTTTTCGGTTTCATCCAGGAAATTTATATTATATTCGATATCTGAAAGTCGGTCTACTTCCACCAAATTGCTCATTGGCTGCGTTAGGGTTAGTTCAATTGGTGGCTCTTTCTCCTCGTCGGATGCCAGCCAATTGAATTTGTCATTGCCGGCAATAAACAATTGCGAATCGGTTGTGAGCAGAGTGCAGAGCTCAAAGTTTCGTTTCTCGTGACCCGAAGTCCAGCGACAACCGCTCAATAGGGCGCACACCTTAAGTGGTTCAGCCGTTAGAGAAGTGAGTCGCTGACGCACTACATCCGATGGATGTTGAATAACCTCACACTCCTTGGGCAGCGGATTTTCTAGAGAAACAAAGGCATAATTAATTAATAATTGTCTATTTCGATAATCTGAACCATATGAACTCACCTGCCAGGTACATCAGCAAATTATCTGTTCGCACACTATCCTGCAGTATTAGCAGGAAGTTACCCCAGTCCCGCAGTGTAAAAGATAAGCCCAGTTTCCAGGGCAACACTCGTATGCGTGTCAAACGATTCACTGGCAGGCTAATCACCTGTCGCAGCCACTTGGCCACATCATCCTGGGCTGGTGCATACGCTTCCATCAGGTAACACTTGCTGGTGGAGATTACCAACAAACCATCGCGCATCGTTTGAGTTTGCTCATTGTATATTCGACCCTTGGCCAGCCACTTAAAGTGTTCACCCGTGTCCATGAATTTGCTCTGATAGAAATAGAGTTTCAAACGATGATCGATGTCATGGTAGTCGCTATAATTAAATTTATATGGCTGCATTGGACTGGCAGCAGCCTCCGTTTCAGTTAGCTTTTTCGAGCTCGACATCAGCATGCTGGTGGATTGGAAAAGAGCTGAGAATATATAAAATATTGTAATATAATAAATAAAATGTAAGATTTTGTGTAAGTTTTAAGAAAGTAAAAATTTGGATACAATTGCTCACAGGGGTATAATATATATATCTCAATATATATGCAATTATAATAATAGTAATATCGATTTAAGATTGATTTTGATAATTATCTATTCTTTTCCGTTTCTCTATTAATTTCTCTATTAAGTAAATGTGCCCTTCTAAGCGATTCTCAGCATATGTATGTATGCATATACAATAGCTCTGTATGTATGTATATAGAAACTATTCCGTTTTAAGAGCATTTACTTTAACAATCGCAGTTTAGCTATCCAGAGAGATTCTCTATTTTTAAAGGAAATAGAAGTTTGATCTTATGCCTAAAATATTTCCAAATTATTATAGTTTTATTTATTTGCATACGCACCACCAAACATGATGGATAGATGTGCATCCTCTGCTGTTTTCAGCTGTGTTGTTTCACTATGACCATTTGCTGCAGTCACTTCGTTGTAGTTGTTGTTGTTGTGCTGTGGATGAGTTGTGCTGCCTCCAGATTCGGACAGCAGCATATTCTGCAGAATGACGGCATCATCGGTAGGTTGCTTTTGCGGCTTATCCGTTGTCGGTTGCTTGGCCTGCTGCTCGTAGGTTGTGCAAATGCTGTCGGTCACAGAGCCCGACGAGCTGCTCTCCGTTAGTTGGATTTGTGCCATGGCTTTAGATTTTACCGTTGTGTCCAGTGTGGTTGTCGCAGCCGTTGGCATCGCCTCGAAATTTAAGCGAGCCTGTTCCACTAGAGCTTCGTGTTCGATGAAGCTCTGCGATTGACTTAGATCATCGTCGATGGTCTGGAGATTGGGCATTTGGGATATGCGACGCTCCTCGGACGTTTTGCGACTGGCACTATGCGCACAGCTGGGATCCAGCACTTCAATGCTGGATTGGCTCGGATTGGAGATAATGTCCACGTCGCTCTCATTGGCACGAAACTCCAGATCTCGCTCCGTATTGGAACTGCCCACAACAGATTGATTGGAATCGAAGGAGCATTGCGAGTTGGTTATCTTCGAGCAGGAGCTGCTCTCATTTAGCGAATTAGCCGAACCTGTAGAAATATTTAGAAACATTAGTTTGCTTTGAAATATATCGTTAAAAATGTTTCTCTCTAATTGAAGCAGCATTGATTTGCTTTCGCTCAAGTGAAATGAAGCGTAATTTCAATTTCCTTTTTTAAGGTGCGTTTAATTTGGAATAGAATCGACTTTTGTTAGCTGAATAGATTAGTTTGTTAATGGTTTGATTTTGCATGCCCAAATGCTGCTTCATAGGACAGACAACAAGAAGCCAAATGCAAATTGCTGTCAACAACAGAAGAAATACAAAAAAATAAAAATAAAATGAGAATTCATATAATACATTAAAATTGGCATATTAACTTTTTGTGGTTTGCATCAAACTCCTACGCTTGGGTGTGCTATTAGCGATGAGCCTGCTGTTGCCCACTAAATAATTAAAATARTATTGTAACAATTAAAGTTGTTGTTGTTGTTGTTGCAGTTGGGTGAGCGAAATGGTACAAGAGGAATACATAAGAATACACGAAAAGTTAGATTAACTCGCAGTTTGCCATTCGATTTTCAGTGTAGAAATGTGTGTTGTATGTTGTTTGTTTGTGTGTGTGTGTTTGTGTTTTAAAGCATGCAAAAAGAAAAAGAAATAAAAAATAATACAAATCAATTAAGTATAATATCAATTGTAGTTAATTTCTAAAATAATTATAAGCCAAAATCAAAATGTTACTTTAAGGCCGCTTATAAAACTAAAAATGGTTTGAATAGGTTACACTAAACTACATGTTAAATGTTTTTTTTTTTTTTTTTTTTTTTTTGAATCAATTTATCCGTTTCAAATAATTTCCATAATTGGATCTACATAAAATAGCAGACTAGCCAAGAACTTGCCAATACTTTGATTGTCCTCCTTGGACAGCACACTCAGCGGCGTGTTAGCAGGCGATTCCTCTACAATTAACGCCGGCGATAGCTTCGGCTCCACTGCAGCGACTTTGGGTTTATCCAACGAGCCGCACTCATCGTTCACCTCGGCCACAAACAAACTGCGACAATCCGGACAACGCAGCTCTGTGAAGGGAGGGGAATTACTATTAGAAGTTGCTCTTAGTGTAGTGTTCACTGTAACTAGCTGTACCCGCTGTCTTGTAGCTCTTGTTTTTACGTTCTCTGGTGAACTTGATGCCGCAGTTGACGCAGCTATAGATGGTTATATTCATTTCAGTGAGATCACGCTGCGATAGAATGTCGCGTAGTTTCTTTTCAAGTTCCTAAGTAAATAAATAAATAAATAAATAATCAATTAAAAGTTTTGGTTCGTTTATATATATATTTCATATACCTGACACAGTGCATTCTCCACGCAATAAACACGTTCCTGTTTATCCTTTTGCATTGTATCGAAGTTGATGCGCAGCGTATTGGATTTGATTCGCTCGCATGACTCCAAGACCTTGATGCTCCATTTTGTCTTGGTGCTGCAAATAGAGAATATTCAAATATTTAAATTTATTATATATAATTGTGCTATATAATATCCAACCTCTCGCTGAGCGCATCCTTTTCGCGCACATAATTAGAGGATATGGTAAGGAACAACGGATCGGTCGTCTTGTTTTCGTGATAAACGATATAGACCTTTTCATCGGGCTCTTCTTCGGAAACTGAAAGATTATAAATTTTTGTTTAGTCTGCTTAAACTTATTCCTTTCAACGAGGATCTCACCTGGTTCTTCTTCCTCCACAAAAGACGAATTTATATAGCTTTCGATCACTTTTTTGTGAATATCGATCTCTTGCTCCTCGTTCGCTTCAGGCTCTGCCGGCTGTTCTGACAGAGTATCGTCCATGCTCTCATACTCCGTTTGGATGCTGTTGTTGCACGACTCGTAGACTGTTTGCTGTGTTTGGTTCAGGTCCGTCTCCTTGTTGGCTTCTCTCTTGATGGGTGTCAACGTTGCATTGAATGTGTCACCCCAATTACTCTGGGTAGTCGGCGTGGAGTTGAGTGGCTCTGCTGGCTCTGGCTGCGGCTCCGCCTGTTGCGCTGAAGCCGAAAGTTCGCCTAGGAATTCATTGAACTGCTGACGTGCCTCATTGCGCTCCTCTTTGCTGGGCTGCGGCGCATCTACGCCAAACATTTGCTCCGCGTTGCCCGACTGCAACCATTCGTTGCCAAACTTAAGACGCAGTGTCTCAATTTGCTTCTTCGTCTCCAAGTGGCTGCCATCGGTGGCCTCTTGTGGTTTCTCTGCTTCGATTGCCGCTGTTGCTGTAGTGGCTTCGGTGGCCACCTCATTGCCATGTTCCGCAATTTCTACTGTGCGCAGTTTTTTAGATTTCCCGCGTCTTTTGTCCATTTGCACATCAACCGTTGTTTGATCGGCCTCCGACGAGGAGTCCCTGCCTCTGATCGAGAACGAACGCTGCGAGCCCACACTCGATGCTGGTGTATTGATAGACGCCCTCGAACTGTTTATGGATACATGACTGCTCGCGCTCCGATGACTCATGGAGCCCACAAACCGCATCTGCTGACTGCCAATTAATGCTCGCTCTGCCTTGGAGAGCGGTTCAAAGTCTAACACAAATTTCACTGTCGCCGTATTCTTGTGCAGATACTGGGCCGTGGCCAGACGATGCTTGGGATGGCAGGCCAAAGGATTGCCCTGCAAATTCAGCACAGTGAGCGTCATGAGAACGCTGAGCGGCAAGAGCTGCGAATGCTCCAGCAAGCAATTGTCGGAAAGATCCATATTAGTTAGCGCATCCAGCTTGGTCATATCTAACAGCTCCTCCACATAGTTGTTGCTTATATTTAGCATCTGCAGCCTTTTGCATGCCTCCACATGGAATTGGGGTATATGTGTCAGGCAATTGTAGCTCACATCGAGCGTCTTGAGGTGGGGCAGCCATTTGATGGCCCTGACACTGGTTAGCTTATTGTGGCGCAAATTCAAGTGCTGCAAGTGCTGCGCAAACTCCAGAGCCGTATCCACAGACCGTAAATTATTGTAGCTAAAGTCCGCCGACTGCAGTTCGTTCCACACAAATCCATTCGACATATCCCCGCCGCAATGCGTAATGATGTCCTCCACATTGTTCAGGCTCTTGATGCATATCAAATGCTGTAGCTGGGCGCGCAGGGCTTGAATTCCCACCACCTGGCGTATGTTGATCTTGTGCACCTCCAAGCGACGCAGCGCACGAAATTTGCATATATCAATGGCGCCCTCAAAGTAATGCTCGCTGGGAAAATAAGTGAGCTTCAGCAGCGTTGTCTTTTGCACGAAATCATGCAACAGCTGTAAATCCGCAAACACGCTCGACTTGGCATTGATGGGCTTCACTACCTGGAAGGCGTGCTGTTGCTTCTGCAAGATGCTAAGTCCAGCGCCAGCGGAAATATCGCTGTCCGCAATCAACGTAAAGGAATCATTCAAAGCGCGCAACAGTGAACCTGCAAGTGTATAAGTATGTCTGTGAGAAAATGATTTAACCTGATAAGGTAGCTAATCGTGCTGAGCACGAAATAACTGAGTGGGTGGGGTCTCGGTTTAGTCATGTCCAGCCTGCATGCTTGGTCCGCTGCTGCTCACCTGATAAGGTCAAGGTAAATTCAGAGTTCAGGATTTTGTCGCCATTCTTGCGCAGCAAGTTGGCCAATTCGGTGATCTTTTGTGGATCCATTGCTGGCTAGCAGGTGTCGCTCATATATACAAAATCAACGCCAGCTGCTACAGCTGCGGGTTCAATTACGCTTTGTTTGTTGCTCGTCTAAGTGAATCAGCTTTCTGCGTTGCAGCTTTTTCGTTTATCAACTGAAAAACGAATGCAAACAATATATTAATAAATACACACACACACACATTGACACGCAGATGTTCACTCACGCAGCCCCAAATACAATTTGCACTTGGCATTCCACGTACTTCACCTAATTCTATTTTGATGTTTATGATTCTGCTACAATCTGTCTGAGAATAATAAAAGTCAATTACGACGCCATTGTCGAGTGCACATAAAACGGAAAGTCCTACATGTTCCACATATATTTTTATATAGAAATTTAGTTTTCTAGAAGTATAGCAATCAATTCAACATCTCTTTTGCCCGCTTATCCTGCTTATGCACAAAAATATTCCACTCGCGAATGAGAAACACTTTTGTTATTACTATAAATGACAGTCAGCAGGAAACGTAAACACAGGGTTGTATTTTGATGCAGTACAATCAGCTGTTTGAAAATATTAGAATAATCGATATAAATACCGATAGATTTATACTTATCCGTAAACCAGAGCGGCAACGAAATTTTCAAATGCATAAACGATGCCCCAAATAAACTCAAACCTTGTTTTATATTCACTTTTTAAAACAGATTTTTATTTTTCATTTATAATTTATAGCTACGCCATTCAAATTATATCACTAGGATATTCTAATGCAAATAAAATTTCGTCTTAGTTGCATTTCTCTCTGTTCATTTTAAATTAAACCATTGCTGTTCCATTTATTACGCCTCTGTTGTTTCTGCATTCGTAATTGTAAAACTCACTGTTGGTATTTACAATTGTCTTTTAGGTACATACGCTCATTTCTCGCTAACTTCAATTATATATTCTTTTATAAACTAAGTTAAAACAAAAAGCAGACTTCAAGATTGTTTTCATTGTTTGTTCGTTTCTCTGTGGTTTGCTGGATATGCGTTGGATATTTAATATTTTAAACATTAAATTAACAACCTATATACTTTCTTGTCGTTGGCTGGGTAGAAATAGTTTTATGATTTAAGCTTCTTTGGATGCATAAACGTGTGCTGAAAATTTTGCTATTTACTCTTGATTTGCATTTTATTTTTGTTTTGTTTTTTTTTTTTTTTGGTGCATAAAAACATTTAAAAATTTGTAATTACTATTTTACAAAGTTTGCCTGCGAAATAGAAAACAAAACGGCATTATTTTTTGAAGTGCTTTGCAAATTGGTGAATGAAAACATTTCAAAATTGCATTCAAAATACAAACGTGAATTAAAACAAACAAAAAATTCAATCAATAATAAATATATCAAATTTTGGTACGTACTGCTCTCTGCCGATTTGTAGTTGCCAATTATTGTTTTGTTTTTGATTTTTTTTATTATTAAATAATGTTTTATTTGCAAATATTTTTTCTACTTATGCTTTTAACTTTTTTATATATGTACAAAAATATTTAAATACTTTATTAATGTTTTGAACAAAATTCATTTTGGTTTAACAAATATGACACTGACGTTTTCTCTTATGAACACAAATATAATCGTAAATATAGAAGATTTAATAATGTATGCTTGAAATTAGGCGAAGGAAGCGATTTGCGAATACCTACAATATATATATATATATATATCATCATATATATATGTATGTATATTTGTAGCAAGTGCGTGAGTGTGCGAGTATGAATTGACTTGGAGCTATAAACAAAAAGTATTTACAATCGAGTTCTTGTTATCTCTGTATAAACATGTTTTTTTTTGTTTCTTGTTTTTTTTTTTTTTTGATTGTTTGGTGTTTAACACAGTTTAGAGTTTTGGCGACGGCATGATGAACGAGTCCCTATGAGAAATCATATAAAAAAGAAGAGAAGAAAACAAATTTGTTTGTTGTTGATGAAACATAAAAGTTGATATTGTAAAAATGCATACGAAATGGGGATTGGTTGAGGTTTAATGGGGGATTGGGATATGTGTCTAGCTACTATGCATGGGAATTGGGAATGAATGAGAATTGTAGAAGAAAAATATTTAAAACTTATTTGAAACAGTTGGCCAACTAGAAATTTTGAATTTTGAGTTTTATTTATTATTCTGTGTAGTTGTATTAAAACGTTAACTTAGATTAAATCAAAAGATCAACAAAACATGCTAATAGTTTAAGTGCATAATGTTAAAAGTTAAATAAAAACTATATATAGTATATAAAAAGCCTAAGCTAAAAACAAAAAGCAATTACAGGTTGTACAAAAATTTCAATTAGCAAATTAAATACAAAATAGAAGGGAAATCATAAAATCATAAAGTTGAGTGTGTGGTTTCTTGGGCAGAAAAGGCAAAGGAAGGGAATTGCGGGAGGAACTCTTTAAACGTTTCATGTGCAGCTGTGCAAGAAGCAAAACAATAAGAAACTCAAGACTTACATATGCTCGGGATGATTGCGTATGCAATCAATTAAATCTTTAGGCTTAAGCTGATTTGTGCAAATTTTATGTATAGCTGTGAACAGTGGGAATCTGCAAGAAATGGAATTTTGTTAAATATATATTGATATTTCAATATATGTATACAGCTTTATCGTGCGTACTTATCCTCCAAGCCTTTGTTCTTCAACATATAGTTGACTTCCTCGGCAGTGGGCGGCCCCTGCAATTTCTGGCCATTGAGCATTTCCTTCTCCAGCTCCTCAATTGTTTTGCCCGACGTGACAAAAGCCTCGGAGACACGACGATTGCGGCCACCTGGAAAGAAATTTCCGCATAAGAAGAAACTCATTCCTTGTCTCTCAATCTGTCTTATGAGCATACCATAACATGTCGTAATGAGATCCGCCACACCGCAGCTCTCAAAGAAAGTGGATAGCTTGCTGCCCGGGTAGAAGACATCGACAAAGCGAATCATTTCCATCAGACCTAGACGAATGACCGCTGCCTTGGTGTTGTCGCCCAGCTTGAGGCCATCCACGAAGCCAGCGCCGCAGGCGACAATGTTCTTTAAGGCACCGCAAACCTCAACGGCATCGGCATCCTCGACGACCACGACGCGGAAGTGATTGGCCTGGAAGAGATCACGCAGCACCTTGCCGTACTTTTTGTCCGTGCAGCCGATTGTCGTCTCGCAAAAGTTGCCCTCGGCCACCTCGTTGGCCAGATTAGCGCCCATCAGCACAGCGCATGGTATCTGGTGACAATGGGACAGAGAGGGAAAATATCAGCTACTCTCTCTCCCTCTCACTCAGTATAAACATATGGACTTACCTTCAAGTGGCGGGTGATGATGTGCGAAATAAGATCAATGCCGCCGCCCTCAGCCTTATCGAAGCCCTTGATCAGGGATATGGCAATGGCATTTGGCTTGATCTTGCCTAGCAATTGCTTGCAGAAATTGGGTATGAACTGATGGGGCACTACGAAAATGAGTATATCGGCATTCTTGGCAGCTTCGACTAGATCGGGTACAGCTACCTGTAAATAGGCAAATAAATACATTAGGTTCTTCTCTGCACCAATAAAAGAAAACATATTTTGATAAGCCAGCAAAATTGTTACTTTTGATAAGCTCAAGGTTGAATGAAGGGAACTTTGAAATATTAAAAAAAAATAAATAAAAAAAATACGTTTCATAGCGCTATGAAAATCATGGCATACACACGTGTACACACCTACTTTAGAGGCTTGTATCGCAGCTCTGAATCGATTGCTATTGATTAGTTATTTTTATACCCTGAACCCATTGAAAATGGGAAATCAGGGTATAATGGTTTTGTTGAAATGTATGTAACAGGCAGAAGGAGGCGTGGCAGACCCCACAAAGTATATATATTCTTGATCAGGGCGACGAGCTGAGTCGATTTAGCCCTGTCCGTCTGTCTGTCTGTCCGTCTGTCCGTCTGTCCGTCTGTCCGTCCGTCCGTCTGTCCGTCTGTCCGTCTGTCCGTNGGCCTAGTGTGTTAGCTGCATGACGCTCGATCGAGAAGTCGCGGTTCGAATCCCGATCGATGCAACTGATGTTAATTTTTTTTAATTGTTTCAAAATATTTTTATATTTTATTAAATGAGTTTGGTATTTTATTTATATTTTTAAATACATCGAAATTGAAATTTCAGCCATACTAAATGAGCATTTTTATTTGTTGGGTTCAGGGTAGTATCTAGTCGAGCACTCTCGACTAGAGTTTTCTTACTTGTTTCAGTTTGTTTTGTCACTTTAAAACTGGTTTGCAAGTCTTGCATAATAATAATGAACGGTTCATTTAAGGTATAAAGTTCAGGTGTTGCCTTAGATAGTGAGCCCAGAAATTATAAATAAATATACACTTTTTGCAATTTCCTTTAAGCCTCTATTTGCATTTCAAATTAAATAATCTCGAAAATGAAAAATGAATAAATTAAACTTTTTATATTTAGTAATAAAAACGTGAGATTGCTTCACAAAATGCATAATTAGAGTAAAAAGTGTAAAAACTAAAGTGGAACTAAGTTCATTTTTAACGTCTCGTTGGCTAGCAATAAAAATTTGTATATACATATAATATAAATTTAAGCAATTAAGAAAGCTTATTTTTTTTTGCCAAAATTGTACTTAAATAAAAATAAATATCAAAATGCGTGCGTTTATTTTATTTTTATTTTTTTGTATATTTTATATATAGTCTACGGATTATATATGTATATATCCGAAATTTTTGTTTTAACAATAGAAGAATAATCAACAGCCTAAATTTACTTTATATTTCAGTCGAAAGTCCAGCGAAATACTTATTTGTTCAGTTTATTATCTTGATTAAGATATATATATATACTCTTTATATATATGTACTTATGTGTATAGAACATTGCTTGATAGTAACAAACTTGTTTTACTCTAAGCATGACACATATTTGTTCTAAATTATAGTAGCTATAAAAATAGAGCAAACAAATTCTTATCAGAAAACTCTATGAAAATTTCCGTCAGACTAAACGCACAAAGCGAGGCAACTAGAATTTGTTGTACTACTTTTCTCTCTCTCTCCTCTCTCTGATGTTTCCTTATCAAGAAACTAAATATAAAACTGTTTTGTATATATTTTTGTTGGCTCACGAAACACTTAATTTGATGAACAGTTTGCAAATTGCCTGCAGTTTTGACATTGGCCTGGCCCATGGTGATTTGTTTATAAACTAAATACATATATAGACGCCTATTTCTATATATGTATGTGTGTGTATATAGCATTTGTTTTTCCAATTTGTTGTTGTTGCTACGGCTTGCTTTCACTATTGAAAGCTTGCCAAAATTTATAGCAATAGAGATTTACATATATGCGTTTAAGAATATATATAAACAGGTATATGTGGCATTCATTTTATATAAAATAAAAGGAAATGACAGACATCATTTCGTTATATACATATTTGTTTTTATTTTTTTATTTTATTTTATTTTTTTTTTATCATTTTGCAGCGCCAGCTGTTCTAGTCAAAATTAGAAAATTTGTTTTGGAAAATTCCGCATTGTTAACATTAAACCTACACATGTCCAATTGGTGCGAACTTTATCTAGACAACCCAAATAGCATGTTTAACATGACCTGCAAACAATGCGGCTTATCCATAATCAGCAAACACAAGCTGTTAAGTGCTGTGCGCTAAGCTTATCAATTCAGCTGTGCAATTGTATGTGTTCTATATATAAATACATATTTTGAAATGAATTTAAGCATATTGAAAACAATATATAACGTAAGAGTCACCATCGAACTGTGTAAATGTAAAAGTTGTAATCGATTGTGTCAGGCACAATTATTTTTAAATTCAACAGTTAAGAGAGTGCAATAAAGAGAGAGAGAGAGAGAGAGAGAGAGAGTGTGTGTGTGTGTATAAGAGTACGCGCGAGTGCAAGCCGGCCTTGACCTACGTCAAAGACAGCGGCTGAGCTGGCATTGCCAGCATGGCAGGAATAGAAGGTTTCTATTTTATGTGCAGACGTCAGAGCAAGGTGAAACTTTTGTTGATGTGTTGGCCCTGAAACAAAAGTGCATCGTGGGCCAAAAAACCAGAGAGAGAAAGAGAGAGAGAGGGACTAACGTTTAGTGGTTTGTAAAAATAGCTGCATATGTATGCAGGTTTCGCCCGCTCTTTCGTCTGATTAGATAATTTGGCTGCACGACGACACGGCCAAGATCAAGGCAGCGGCGTCTTTTATGTAAGGGGCAGCTGCAGCTGCAATTGTTAATAATTTAACTAATACTAACGCACAGATTGCATAAGAGCAGATGGCTGCTTTTATAAACTTGTTATTTGCGATTTTCAATTAGCAGCAAACTAATTATTTTGTTTTGTTTTTTTTTTTTTCGTTTTTTTTTTTTATTTTTTTTATTATCTTTTTGTACTTACCACATTTGGTGGGAGTTTGTGGCCCTTCAGATATTTAACATTCTCGTGAGTTTCATTGATGATTTCCGTTAACTTCTTGCCATCAATCATCTCCTCGTAGACGAACATTGTGACGCGCTCCTCAAACTCTGGCAATGCGGATGCATTGGCGCCCACAATTTTTGCAATGGCCGAACCCCTGAACAAGGTTTAAAAGGCCAAGTTGCAATATGCAATCATTATATAATTTGCCAGGTTGTTTTTGTTATTGTTGTTGTTGTTTCTATTGTTATTGCACTCACCAGTTGCCGGAGCCAACAATGCAAACATTTACTTTTTCCGCCATGCTGATGTTATTATTAATAGTTACTGTATTTGTTGTTGCTTTTACTGTTGTTGTTGTATGGCAAAGTGTATATTACTTTGCCGATTGATTTGGACGCGTGTCAGACTCTATTTGTTGAACTGGCGACTAGCGCTTGAGAATTATTTACTACGGACTGACACGTCGAAACAACGGCACGTTTAATAAATACTATTTAGTAAACGCGTATTTGCAAGACCATGCAGCGATAGTCTATCGATAACATTTTATTGATTGCACGCCGATAGTGCGCTGCGGAAAATCGAATACGCATAGTATCGACTGATAATCAAGTCGAATATTTAAAGTTCGTTAAAGGTTTAAATTTATAGTTTATTACGAATACCACATTCGGTATATAAATACAATTTTTAGTTTATTAAAATTTTATGTACTCCAAGCGCGAACTGCCGTTAACAATTTCTATATATTTTGCATTTCGAATTCAAATAAATGAAATACATTTATTAGAAAATATAATTATAATTGAAGTGTATGAATCTGTTTTTTTTTTTTTTTTTTTTTTTTTTAAAGAGGCAGCTGATATGTATATGTGAATATAATTATAAAATTAAGAACACAAAGACATATTATTAATTTATCATTTGTTATTATTCCCGCGTCTCTTTTCCTCTTCCATGCTCGAAAGAAACTGTTAAAGTCATTATGCTGTTACCTCACTGTTATAGTTGCTAACAGAACGCGCGCAATTCAAAATTACAGCGTCATTTTTGTATTCAATTTCGACTGTGAATAACACTTTTAGTCACATCTTTATCAATTTGATACAGTTTGAAGAAGTCCCAACTAAAGTCAATAAAAAATATTTCATTCTCCAAGATAAAGCGATTCGAGCGGGAACATCATGAATAGTTTAACGCTTAAAATTTTACTGATAGTTGGTGGTACGTGGCAGTCTCTCAGTTCAAATTGAATGGATTTATAAGTAATCTGTATAAATTAAAATCTACAGCATTCCTTACACTATTATACCCCACCAATGGATGTTACGAGCTAGGTTGCGGTCGAAACGGTGTCCAACCGGCACTTAAGAGTGGAATTAGGCCTTTAAGCAATGCGAAAGCAACTATTCTGCGTTCTGCGGAGCATTTGCGTGATTGAAAAAATATCGGAATCGATCAACTTCCAGAAGTATTTGGTGAATATATCCCGGGTTAGGAACTTCCCGTTTATATTCTGTCATCCTATCTGGTAATTCAATATAGCAATGCATAAATGTACAATTTGTATAATTGATTTAATAAAATTATAGGACGCAGGTAAAAAAGTTGGTTTTAAAGATTACTGAGAAGAAAGTGTGTGAGAGAGAGAGAGAGAGAGAGAGGGATACGGAGTGCGAGAGAAAAAGAAATGATAAAATTGGGGAAGACACAAGGCGAAAGAGAGCCTTAAAACATATATCGCGCCAGCATGTTTTGTTATAGTATGAGAATCGCATAGTACGAATATATAAAAAATTGGTAATAAAACTTCGATTCGAATTTTGTTTGACAAACTACAGTTTCAAGTTGGCCTTAAATATAATGCAGAACCGTTAACTCCGCTTAATATTAAGCTGAATTATAGCGTCTTTGGAATGCAATTTATGTATATTTAATAATAATACTCATTAAATTTTAGTCGACTCTGCCGTCTTGCTGAACTCTGCAACTGTCGGGCGATTAGCTCATGTAACTGTTGCCAACGTAGTCATTCATATGTAGCTGGCGCTGCACATTAAGCCCTCGACTAGAACATGGCAAAAGCTATGCCAGAGTCACGGCTAACCGCTGCCACGCCCACATCGGCAATGGGCGGGCGTCAATGGTCTGTCGGGCAGACCATACCAATGCAGAAGGTTAATCATGCAGCGATGTTGTTACGCGTTAATACCTTCATGTGAGCTGGACCACGTGCTGAGCGCTGTTTGGTTGCGTGTCTAACGCTGTTTGGCCCTTCATCTATGATTGTGTGTGTCGGTGGGTGTGTGTGTGTGTATGTGTGGGTGAATCGTGTCGCATCGAGTTGGTTTTGGGCTTGGGTTTTCGGTTGGGTTGCTTTCTATGCTCGGGGTTGCTCTAATTCCGTTTCCTGTTGCTGCTGCTGCAGATGTTGTTGTTGTTGTGCACCCGTAAAATTGATTGCGGCGAAAGCTGGAAAGTTGCACGTTATGCTCGTGGCCTGACTTGCTCCTGCTTTGCGTCTGTGTCTGAGTCCGTGTCTGTGCCTGTGTCCGTGTCTGTGTCCGTGTCCGGGTCTTGTGTCTACTATCTGGTTCTGCTTCTGGTTCTGTTTCTGGTATAGCGTGCGGATTGGCTTGTTTCCAATGCCAGCTAACAGCAGCAGCTCGAAATGTGATTTTCAGCAGCATCGCAACGGCGATTAAGTGCTGCCCAACCACATTAAACAGTTCTACAAAGGTGCAAAAAAAAAAAACATTTTATTTATGATCCCTAGGACTTCAATATGTAATTGTAATTAGAGGATATAACAAATGTATATAATTGTAGTTTTATTTATAATTGAATACTGTTTCAGTATTTCAATGGGACAAGACTTTTCTAACAATGATTAATGTTAATTCTAAAAATATATATTTACAAAATAATGTTTAAAACTTAAAAACAATACTAACTACATATGTATATATTAGAAAATTATGTGATAAAAAAAAACTCTAAATTTTGTAGAATAATAGTTTGGTTTTAATATTA